CGGTCCCGCAGCCTTTGCCTTGAGGTCGCTCTGTGTGGTCTCTCCTCTGGGGAAAAGCCTTAGGTTGGGAAGATCGACTCTGCCACTAATAGTGCTTGGTTTGATCCCATCAACTCAGGGTAGGCCCGGGGATGCCCGCCACAATAGTTTTCCCAGTTAATTAAGTAAACAGAAATTCTCAAAAATGACAGAAAGTGCCAGTGTGTGTATCACCTTAACTTTGAGTTCACTGTAGCTTAGCATGCTATGTGGTGATCATCATTATTTACGATATTTATTACTTTTGTGTCATTCATCTGAAGACTTTGGCTATTTATTTAATCCTAAAAAGTCATGTCGAATTCCAGGCCTCCCACATGTTCTGTGAAAACATTTTTCCAGCTCTGACTCTTTCACATAGTTTGGAGTAATTTTGGCACATATTTTTGTTACAATCAAGATTACATATACTAAACCCTGCAGACTTTTCCCCGCTCCATTTCATTAGTAAAGTTGTGTACATGTTTGAATGCATTCAGACAATACCAAGTATTTTATTTGAGTATCTAGTTATTATAATTTGAATGACAACACCTCATTCGTACTTCAAATTTGTTTACCAACACACCCAATTTGGAAGTAGCATCCAATTTGAATTAGAATCAGTTCATTTTAAGAATGATGGACATCACAACAGTAACGATGAAAAGGGGAATACTCAACGCACGCTTTTACATTTCTTGTACAAACCAACTGTGAATGAAGGCACCTCCATCCATCGGGGGGCAGGCACTCGCCTCCATCAAACGAGGGCATACTCAATGCATGCATTCACATTTCTTGTGCAACCCAACTGTGAATGAACTCGCCTCTATCTATTGGGGGCAAGGCAGCCACTCGCCTCCATTAAACAGGGGCATAGTCAATGCACGTTTGTACATTTCTTGTACAACCCAACTGTGAATGAACGCACCTCCATCTATCAGGGGCAAGGCAGCCACTCGCCTCCATCAAACAGGGGCGTAATTAACGCACGCTTTTACATTTCTTGTACAACTCAACTGTGAATGAACGCGCTTCCATCTATCGGGGGCGAGGCAGCCACTCGCCTCCATCAAACGGGGGCATACATGTACTCAATGCATGCATTTACATTTCTTGTACAACCCAACTGTGAATGAGTGCGCCTCCATCTATCGGGGGCGAGGCAACCACTCGCCTCCATCAAACAGGGGCATAGTCAACGCACGTTTTTACATTTCTTGTGCAACCCAACTGTGAATGAACTCGCCTCTATCTATCGGGGGCGAGGCAGCCACTCGCCTCCATTAAACAGGGGCATAGTCAACGCACGCTTTTACATTTCTTGTACAACCCAACTGTGAATGAACGCGCCTCTATCTATCAGGGGCGAGGCAGGCACTTGCCTCCATCAAACGGGGGCGGGTCATGCACTAGCTTTAAATTTCATCTAAGTGGCTCATGTACAATTTGATCTTACAGTGTCAGTACAGTTGATACAATCAACACAGACACAGTTTAAGGGAGGCTGCGACTCGCAAAGTCCCCATGTTACCCACAGTCTCAAATTTTCCACGCCAGTCCCTATGTTCTCTGATCCCTATTTCTCCTTTTTTTTTCCTCCAGTCGAGCTGGAACAAGATCTGGGGAACTTGAAATAGCCCCCCTCCCCCGGGAAACTGCATATAGGAAGCCTATATTTTTGGTGTAACTTAAGTGACTATGGCACGCCATGGTACTCTAAAAAAAATTTAGGAGATTGTGGGTGAAAATGTAATGAAATAAAAAAAAAGAATAAATGACTCCGTTATTGTTTCACGGTGGTACACAATGTGGGCATACAAAAATTACTATGTCCACACTCGTAATACCAAGTCCGGGTTAATGGGATGAACAGATAAATGCAGTTTTTGTGGAATAATATTTTTGGACATTTTTGCATACCGTGAATGCACGCAGGAGCGGTGAAAATTAATTT